CCTAGGCTGCAAATGAGAGGTAATTCGAAACCTGTTTCTACCATTTGAATCCAATTACCCTCTTTTCTTAAATAAAAGGACTGGAAGGCAGTGGTGATCCTTCGTATCCTTTAAAATCTTACAAAGAAATTAAAGCTGTCAAATGAATGCCATTGGAAGTAATGGGATGGTTAACAAATTTCAGATGACCTCCCCGTTGTCATTTCCTAGAGACCTACATTGCTATAGGCCACCACTACCACCTTAAAATAGGTGCCAGGGCCACTTAAAATGCTGTCAACCACCCTATGTCGCCATTAGTTACCTAGCAGTGGACGTGGGGAGGAGCGGACCATACCTCTAGCTTAAATACACACATTGACGCCAAAAAAGACGGCTGTTTTGAGGTCTTTGTCGTGGACTGTCCTAGTTGAGAATTAGGCAGCATCGAAGTTCACACACGTACGCAAACGCTGACCTATGACCCCATCTTTTGCATGTCGTATTAACCTTGAAAACGGGCAAACGTAAAATAGATAAATTTAAAAAAAAGAAAACATATGTTATTTTTATGCATTTGTTTTTAGATTCTTTTGAAATATGAAGAATAAAACCTGATTAAGAGACATTTATTTGTCTTCTTTGGCCCTTTTCATTATTTTAGAAACAGATCTGATTCCTTAAATCAACATTTTTAAAAATGAAGCAGGGTAATTTTGAAAACTGGCACTAAGTATGTGGTCTGCAATTGTCGATTTTGACCTTTTTTCTTGAAAAAAGCTAACAACTTCCAACTCTTACAAGGTAATACCCCTCCAAGCTAATACCTACTTTGTTTTTTTGTCATTTCAAGCGGAGAGAATGCTTCTATCTGGATGAACAGCAGGGTGGTTTTCAAAATGTCGGCTTCTCAATTTTTGGCAGAAAATTGACTGTCTTTTCTTTTGAGGCCGTTATTTGGAATAAATTTTTACACGAAAGGCGACTCTTTTTATCTTATTTCAGGTTTTGGCGCTATATTTCACTATATTACCTTTTTCGGTTCATAATAGTAGAATTACACAATTATTTGAAATTTGTGGATAAAATCTTCATTCTTTGTTCTAATGAAATAGCACAACACGATTAGGTCAGATTTAAGCATTGCTTTTGGTCATTTGAGCCCACAGGCGCACAAACGCACATACCCATGGCCAAATCCTCTGAATATGATAGCTTTTTGTAATGGTCTGAGAAATAAAAAGAAGTAATCTTTTCATCGATAAAAAAATATCACCTCAACTCATTTTCTATCTGTCATTGGCTATAATTTGCCTCATCATGGACCAATGATGCGTCAAGTATCTGAATCTGGCAACCTGATTGGTCATGAGGATATGTTCTTAACTGATTGGTTGAACTCAAAACACCTGTAAATTAGCAACTCAGGTGGCCTAAACTTTGCAAAGAACTCTTGTGTAAGTTGGCGCATGGGATGATATTTTTGCTTTTAAATGTACATTTTCCATTCCTATATAGGTATAAAATGTCGCAAATCATCTTCCCCCCATAGTGAAGTTAAAACACAAATTTTCCTACTTTTATTTATTAAATATTTAGTTGGTGACTGCTAAATGTGATTAACACGATAATTTGTCCAAAACTCTTTACAGTCCACTTGCAGATCATCCCAGGAAATGTAAGAAGAGTTGTTTGATTGGTTGGACATGAGTACCAAAACCTTGAGTTCTCTTCAGTGTCTAACTAATTTTGCATGTTAACAGGTGTTTAAGGCAACTGAGACTGTCATTTCAGCAAATAACTGGAAAACACATCAATACCTGTCCTTTCATTGGCAGAAGAAGGACATTATCCCGAATTGTATAAAAATAAGTAATACCCCTTATCAGTATGGAAAAGGAGTTATGGCTGGGGGAAGGCAGAGGGTCATATCACCGTAACGGAGAAATTGAGGGCTCCCTTAACCCTAATATGCAGTTAAAAGTGTACGGCATCACCAAAATTAGGCTTACATTTCTTTTGAGTTTTTTCATTGCCTTCAGGGAATTGTAGGGTTGTCTACGATTTGCTTAAACTTGGTCTTAAGCCATTGAGCAATTTTTTTGGGCAGAACTCAAAGTAGGAGTTGGTTAAAAGTGGATGCCACTTTTGGTCCTCTTGTAGTGAGCCGAAGCTACTTCCGCCACCCACAGGATACACCTCCTTAAGGGGTTACTAATAGGGCTAAAAGATAAGCAAAGTTGTCGTAGCTCTCAAGTGCTCCTTCAAATTGCTAAAAATCCTCTTGCTATGGAAGAGGCCTTATGATTCGGTATATGTAGGCCAAGTTAAAGTTAACGAGTTCATTAATTATTACACATACGGCCACACATGTTCCAAAAGCATTCTTCTTATGTACATCACCTTGTGAAAAATAGACCAAAAATGCAAACAAAATCTGGAAATATCCTCCATTTTAGGATGAAGTTACTTGACTTCCGCATCAAAAAATTGGTTGGTAAATAGATAAACCGAAGACAACACAATGCGCCTGATTCTTCCCTTCACGCTCCTCCTCCTCCTCGGCCGGTTCTCAAGGGGGCCGCATGATGCCACAGGTCTCATCTTCACCCGAGAAGTCGACCTGCCGAGTGGATACGACTTGGACGTGTCCAAACAGGAGAGCAATGAGCGAGGCAGCGAAGGAGGTAAGCATTAAAAATTGAAGAAAGTAGAATACTCAATGAATCTTCTTAACTGTGTAGACTTAAAAATTTGGCCCTCCATACTACTCATATTCGGTCCACTTGATAATGCGTCTTTGCTGGAAACAGTGGAGGAGGCGGCTAGTCCGGTTTTTCCGAATACTTTCAACTACCATCTTTTGGGAAGTAAATTACATTTTTTACGGCAAAATCAACCTTCCAGAAGGAAATAAGATAAAATCATGCTTAAGGGGCAATTTGAATCGCAACTGGGATGCAGTGTCATTCTTTTGTGCTTATTGAGTAAAAAACTATTTTCACCCACTTTTTTTCTACTATTCCTCGTGCTAATTCATTAAGACACCAAAAAGAATGCTTTTTTTGTAATTTACTACGCGTAAGCGTAAGAATAGAATGTGGAAACATGAATTGCTTGTCATTTTTCATTAAACTAATCTCACATTACATTGACATCCGCAAGAGTCTGCAAACAACTGATGCGGAAAAACATTGTCTCCTCCTCAGTGAACGGATCATGTTTTTTTCCACTTTAGGTTAGAACAATATTAAAAACTGGTTAGTTTTTTTGGGGGGGAAAATTATGAGGGAATTCCATGGTGACCAGGAGGTACTCACAAGTGGTCAATTCAGCATTCCCTCGGGTTGATTGCTTCAGGACTTGCAGAAAAAGTACAAAATAGCTAATGAATTCGTAACAAACAAGGCAATTGCACTATTGACGGAGGACTTGAGAGTCCCATCTACCCAAGTAGCACATGCATGATGGGAGTAACTAGGGTTTAATCATTTGCCCTTAGAAACCTCTATAAATAGCTAAATTGGCCTCTTTTTAAAGAAAAATTTGCCTTTGTGATACCAAAGAGGATTGTTAGTTTCCCAGCATTCTGTGCGCAGAGGTGTTACTAATCAAATCCGCTACAAATTCACACCCTGCTTTGCAACAATTCTTCAGTAGAAAGAATTGGTGTGTTTATTCCCTTCACATGCAGTAGAGTAAGCAATTAAATTTTTTGGTACTGAAGACTCTGGAATAGGGTGATGCACCATCCCGAGTTCTCTCCGAAGTCACGACAAGCTGAAGTAGGAATGGAGGAGATAGAAGCACGGAGATCATTTCACAGAGCGGAATGGGTAATCGGCCTGTTACCCGCAGAGATTGAAGTGGCCACATGGCTAAATGCACAGGTAATCAAGGCGTCTGGTCGAATTTGTCAAGCTCTAGTTCTTGCAGAGTAGATGGGCGGTTAACGGCGTCCGTGAGACCTGCGGGGACTGCAGTGCTTGCGCAGTAAAACAAAGTACAGCGCCACTACATAAAACTAATTAAAGTGATGCCATATTATACGTTCTAATTGGAAAGAAGACAAGTTCAAGGGCAGTCAAATTATTTCGTATCTTTACTGCATCACTTTCTTGGCCAAATACGCTTTGAAAAGTGAGAAACAGGCAGCTGAGAGAGATCCTCCTCACCAATTTATTTCATGGGGCCAAGCTCAAGGGACTTACCACATCCATCCAGTGGGGGCGGGGGGTTAATATTTTGGCCCACTCCTTCAAGAATCCCTTAACTTCGCCTTAAAGGCGGCGTCACTATTCAGTTAATTACCTTGTTTCAGTAGTACGTTGGAATGCATCAACTGAAGGTCGACAACTCGAAATAAGGAAAGGCTGTTCAAAAATATTTGGGTATTTTGATTCCAATTAAGCGTTCTTATGGGCGTACAGTGGGGTGAATTGACATTCTATGGGCTTGCACGATAAGGTAATGGAAGCACTTAATGCCACGAAGCAGGCAGTCTGTCACGTCCGCATTTTATTGTTTATTTCGCTAAATTGACAAACAGTACAGCAAAAATAGCACTGCAAGCGGTGAAAAAAAATGCTCTATCTAGA